GGGCCTCTAATTTACATTAGTGCTCCTTCCATCCCAGCAGGTGGGTGGAGGAGGGCTTTGGCAGAGCTATTTGTGCAGGAAGAATGAAGGTCAAGGGACTCATATTGAAGGCCTTTCTCAAAATCAAGGATTTGGCTTCTGAGATTAATGTTTGGAGTGAACCCCTGCTATAATTAATTCCCTTTTCTGTAAACTCAGTACATTTTTAAAATTCAGTTAGGGGCCCTCCTATGGTGTGGCATGGAAACCACACGCCCAGGCGCCTGTCTCACAGAGTTCTGAGTGGCCCTCCCTCCTCCTTTGACCTGGGGGCTGCTGACTGCCTTCTAGGGTTGTCCTTGGGCTAAATCCCTTGGATTTAAGAGAGCCCAGGAATAACTTGCCTTAAATTTGCACATAGTAGATCCAGTGGGGATTTAATATGGAAATTAAAAAACAAAAATAGAAGATTTTTAGGTTTTTTGGCATGTTGTCTGTTTGGCTAAAATAAGCTCATACAAATTCAAAAAAATGAATAAAAGATTTTAAAAGACGTTTCTATGAGAAGTTAGTGGCTGCCATATGAGGGAACGAGAGGCTGTGGAAATTACGGAGTTGAAAGGTCTCTCTGGGTCAAATGCATGTTGTAGATTAAAATAGGGCTTATTGTCTGATTTCTGTTGGGAAAAATGTCAGCAGCCTCCATAGGAAGTTTGAGTTCAGGACAGTAATTTTATCCCATCCAGCAATAATTTTTTTTCTGTTTCAGGTAAAGTTAGGAGAAATGAGGGAAACAGAGGAGAAAGAAAACCATTGAAAAGATATTATTATCCTTTGTCACACTATAAGATGGTACCTACAATGTCAGCTCTCATAAGAAATAAGTAACAGAAGCTCCTATCCCCTAAAAAGTAGATTCACCTCATTGCAGTCACAGGAAGTTATTATACAGAAAAATAATAACCACAATAATTAATAGCAAATAGCAGTTACTGTGTGCCAGGCATTGTTCTTAGCTCTTTGCATTTATTTATTATATTACTCATTTAGGCCTTACATGTAGCATTTTAGTACTTGTTATTTGATTAGAAAAATAACTTACATGTATTGAAAACTTAGAGTGTGCTGCGTGTTGGGCTTTTATGTGTATCATCTTATTTAAGCGTCATGGTGACCCCGCAGTTCGGTATTGCCATTGGCAGCAAGCTGAGGCTTATGCCCATGATCCCAGCTTCCAGGACATAAGCTTCACTCTTGCTGACATCAAGCCCAAGCTCTTTACCTTGCTGCCATTCTGTTTGTCATAGAGTTGGGCGCGTACTCCTGAGGGTCAGCACACCTGACTTGCATAGAACACAGACCTTTGATGGTTTTCTTCGTGGCTTTCCATGCCTCCAAAATGAGAAGTACCCAGAAACTCTAGCCAGAATCTCCTGGCTCTCTCCCCACAACTGCAAACCAAAGCAGTCTTTTGGAACTCCTTGATTCTTCTCCCTACGTGGGAGTAGGAATAAAGTAATCACAGTTCCAATAATAGGGAATAGTCAAAAGCAGTACAAACAAACAAACAAACGAACAAAAAACTGGCTCCAGCCTGGCTGGTGTTGCTCAGGGGTTAAGCATTGACCATGAACCAGGTGGCCACAGTTCAATTCCCAATCAGGGTACATGCTCAGATTGTGGGCTCGATCCCTGGGGGGCTCGATCCCTGGGAGGGGGGGTGGAGGGGGCAGGTAGGAAGCAGCCTATTGATGATTTGCTCTCATCCCTGATGTTTCTATCTCTTTCTCTCCCTTCCTCTCTCTGAAATAAATAAAAACATGTTTTTGAAAAACAAAATAAAAGAAAACCTGGCTCTGCTACTTACTAGCCACTTGGAACAACTCTTGGGTTTCCTAATCTGAGCAATGGGGCAATTCAAAGGATTTGAGCTTTGCCCATAGTTACCTTAGTGGTAATGATCAAAGATGATAAGATCTCATTGGAAATGGGATGTACATGGTAATTATTGTACTTTGGTTCTTTACAAGGGTCTGAGGCTTGCCTTTGTTACTGAGGGTGTCTTTGAGTAATGTCATTTGATCTAAGATTTAGATATGGGAAAGAATTCTTCGTGAGCTGTGAAGTAGACTCCTCCACCCCACCCCCAGGTACAAAAGGAAATGCCATTATTTGTTTTTGTGGGGTTCTTTTTGTTGTTGTTAATCCTCACCCAGGATATTTCTCCATTGAGTTTTTTAGAAAGAGTGGAAGGGCAGGGGGAGAGAGAGAAACATCAATATGAGAGAGACTCATCAATTAGTTGCCACACGCTCCCGACCAGGGCCGAGGATCGAGCCGACAACCGAGGCACATGAGGTACATGCCCTTGACCGGAATCTAACCTGGGACCTTCAGTCTGCGGGCTGATGCACTATCCTCTGAGCCAAACTGGCTAGGGCAGAAATACCATTATTTAAATACCTTCTGTGTGCGAGGAATTGTGCTAAGATTTCACCTTATTTAACTTACACAGAAATCTAGAGAGGTAGCAGTTATTACTTTATTATGAAGAAACTGAAGCTCAAAGCAGCAATTTGCCCAGCATCAGATAGCTGAGAGATAAAATGAAGATTTAGACTCAAATCTGTGGGAAACGAATGTGCACGAGGTTTGCATTCACTCTAGCACATTGCCTCCAGACAGAAGGGAAAGAAGGAAAGGAAGGGTTTTGCACACTTAAAATACCCAGGAGCATGAGCGTTGTCTGATAATTAAATAATAATAATTATTATTATGCGTCAAGATTTTGCCACAAAGAATAATGAAAGCTCAAAGTTCTTTGCTATAGCCTTCCACTTTAAAAAGCCTGTTTAATTTGTGACATATTTCTGAGGAAGGCAGTGAGAAGTAGTTAGGAACAAAAACTACACCCATTTAATAGGTGGCAGTGGGCAAAACTGAGAAAACAGGAGCAGGCATTCCAGACAATATTTGAAAGTAATCCACTCAGAACTGCCATCAGGATTTGCTTCCAGGACCTATGCCTCCAGGGCCATCTTCCCTGACTCCAGTTCCAGTTCACCGGGAGTCACTTACCTTCACACTTTCAAACTCATTGTATTATTTCTGCTCATTATTCCCCAGGCTTTGGCCCAGTGCCTCCTACTGAAAAACCTGTTCTGAGGTGGAAAAATCTGTGAGACTGGGAATGTCCCCCCTTGAATCTTTTAACTCAGAGGGTCCCTAACAGTGAGAGGCTTTTAAGGCCACAATCCAGATATTTCTGGGAAAGAGAAGAAAGGCTAATATGAAACTGGAGTTTTTAAGTGTGGAGCCCTTGTTCATGCTTGCTGATGTCAACCCCTAGATGTAGTGAGAGGACCTGGGAATATTCAGACCCCCTGTTGTTGATAGTTCATTTTGGCCTGTATTGATCAGGAACAAATCTAAAACTCAGAAGATGTTTAATTGACCTGAGTTAAACATTGCCATTTGAGGAAGAATATATATATATATTTATATATCAAAGGTCATATATATCTCAAAGGTCATTGTTGCTCAATGGTTAGAGCATAGGCCTATATAGTGAAGGGTGCTGGATTTGATTCCTGGTCAAGGACACATATCTGGATTTCAGGTTTGATCCCTGGTCCTGATCCAGATGTGTGCAGGAGGTAACCAATCTATGTGTCTCTCTCACATCTCTCTCTCCCTCCCTCCCACTTTCTCTAAAAACCAATGGAAAAACTATCCTCAGGTGAGGATTAACAATACATACATACATACATACATACATACATACATACACAAAGGGACTGAAAATGCTTCAGAATTCATTGCTAATTTTAAGGAATCATTTTCCCTAAAGGCAAATGCTGTTTTTTTAGATTTAACTAGAACCATGAGCTAGTCTCCACCACACCATGAAATGAAACTTAGAACTAATTGATCTTAGTGTCTTAACCTACAAAGGGGTATAAAGTAGCTCTTAGGATTGATTTGTAAGATCAGATCAGATGAGGTGGGTGAAGTGCTTGGTAAAGTACAAAGGGCCTCATTGATGTAAAGGGATTTCTTCTTTAAAAGTGAAGCTAAGTGGAGGGAAAAGGGTGTTCCGTAGGCACTAAAATGTAGGCACATTTTAGCCTCCAATAATCACTTTTAAAAAATATATATATTTTACTGATTTTTTTTACAGAGAGGAAGGGAGAGGGATAGAGAGTTAGAAACGTCGATCAGCTGCCTCCTGCACGCCCCCCACTGGGGATGTGCCGGCAACCAAGGTATATGCCCTTGACCGGAATTGAACCTGGGACCCTTCAGTCCGCAGGCCAACGCTCTGTCCATGTAACCAAACCGGTCAGGGCTCCAATAATCACTTTTTAATATTCATGAGAGGTTTAAAAGTTATTTCCCCCCATTTCATACTAGTTTTCACAGCCCTATTTCACACCGCTAGCATCAGTTTCTAACTGAATAGGATAAGGAACCCTCCCAGGGCCAGAGAGCAAATCAAATGCCTAAATCCATATTCGAACGAAGCACACACGGAGGGTTGATTGCTGGGTCCAGAGCTTCCCCTCCATTCGTGAGCTTCTTGGAATGCACAGCCTGATTATCTCCCGTATCTTGTCAATCTTGCAGCTTTTCAGTGAGATGAAAATCAGTCGGGCACTCCTTTACATGAACCTTCTTCCCAAAGTAAACTGTTGGGGAGGGGGGGGGGGACACACAACCACACACACAAACAAACAACAAAAACCAAAATACACTTCATCATTGGAATCTTCCAGAAACTGACCCTGGGAGATGTTTTAAAAAAAAATTGCTCATGGCCTTATCTAACACTGATCACTCCCTCTCCCCTTCAGAAAAAAAAATAAAGCCATAGTACAAATAATAATAATGATTAATAATAATAAAGCCAGCTAATGCTAAGTGGCAGGGACTTGTTCCAAGCTCTTTGTATGTATTAATTCATTTAACCATCAAAAAACATTTTTTGAACTAGTTCTTCAGTAAAGTAGCCCAAAGAGAAACAGCAGTTTTCTCTCTCTCTCTCTCTCTCTTTTTTTTCTCAGTTGCATGACATTGCAACCAGAAATCACAACTCCGTTTTAGGTTCCTGGTGGTTCCTGCTTCCTCTTCTAGTTTGTTTAGTCACCGAATTCGATTCCTGTTGGCCGATTACGCGCCTGTAAACAAGCTTAGCGCTCCATTGAAATGCGCGAGGCTCCTGAACTCTTGTGTAAACAGGTAACGCGGAGGGGTGGGGCGCAGATTGCCGGCTTCTTTGGGATGAGGATGGGGGTGGGAGTCAGAACCAACTCCTCCGAGATCAGGAAAGGTGACGGGAGGCCTTTGCTGCTGTTTCTACAGTCCAGTGTCTTCTGGTTCCCTTTCTAGAAACCAGCTGTAACTTTAGGACACAGCGCGCTCAGTTAAGCCACTTGGGAACGAGCGGCACCCAGGCCCCAGGCCCTGCTGCGAAGGCCCCCGGCAAAGGTCGGGCCTCGGTCCGCGCGACGCTCCTTCCTGCACTGGTCCCGGCGGCGCTCGCCTGCAGGTAAGGACGCTCCGGGGGGTCCCCCTTCCGTCTGGCCGGCCACGGTGCTCGCTCTGATCCTACCTGATCGAACGCCGTCTTTACCGGGGGCCGGGATAGGGGTGGGTGGTGCCGATCGGCTCGTGGTTCAGCTGCAGGTTCCTTATTCCGCAGACGTGGTTCTGCCTGGTTTCTCGGATCAGCCCGGCGGGGGCCGGGCGTCGGTTTCGGATCGCTGTTCTCTGGTGGAGCAGGTGTCACTTCTGGGCTCACGTCTGGGCGTCTGAGCGGGGCGGGCGGCCCGCAGCGAGGCCCCCCGATCTCTCCCATCCCGGCAGACTTATTTGTTAACCTTCAGCAAAGGTATCTCGGCTCCGAAAACAACAGGAATGTTGCACTGGCCTTCAGCCAGCGGAGGCTCAGCGAGCAGGATAAAATTTCAGTGCAGATTTACGGGAAGTTCTCGGTGTTGAGAGTAAAAATCTGGTTTGGTGAGTTTAAGGGAAGGGAGTAGACGAGAGACAACCTTGCTACTGTGAGGCGAACGGCCCCGGCGGGGGAGGGCAGCGGGAGGAGGGAGGAGGGGACCGGGAAGGGCTCGGGGAGCAGGCGCTGAGCGCTCCCGGGCGCTGCGCCGCACGCCGCTGGGCTCCCGGGCCGCGTCTCCCCGGGGTGCGCACCGGGCGCCGTCCCGCCAGGAGGATCGCCGCGCTTCCCAGTCTCACTCCTGCCAGGAGCGGAGCCCCCGAGGGCTGCCTTCTGGTTCTCGCTCCTGCTTCCCTCTGCGGAGGGTGCAGCCTGGGACGGCGAGAAGCCCGGCTCGGGGACTTGTCCTCGCTGAGAGCTTCTCTCTGCAGGTTTCCAAAGTCAAAACATTGACAAACTGGAACTCCCAGGGCCTGGGAGTTGAGCCTAAAACGACCTGTTGCTTTAAGCGGCGCGGTGGGGGAGTAGCTGGACACTCCTCTTTGTGGTTTTACATTAAAAAGAGCGAGGCCGGGAAGATGTTGTAGGTGACTTGCTAGCCTTGTCAATTGCTACCGGGCTGTGAATGAATGGTGTTAATTTCTGAAGTGGGGCGACTCCAAATACATAACAAAGGTAAGGCGGTTTTTGGTAATCCCTCCAACTACTGTTGCTTCATCTTACATTTGGGTCCCTATTTTGAAAAAAAAAATTTTTTTTTTCTTTTTCTTCTCTCTTTGGCCCTTATATCCCTCATTCCGAAACCTTCCTTGTGACTCTCGTGTATGTCGTGGGAGAGAAATGGTTTATAAAAAGATTTTTAAAGCGTCAGCTTCTGGAAAAGCAGAAAAATCATACACAGTCATCAGCTTCATGTTTCCTGTGGTGATGGAACCTTTTCCATACAAAACAACAGATTCTTGTCACCCTTGAAAACACATGCTGTGGCCATCTCGCGGCACAGGTGACTTTTTAGACTCAGATTATTAAAGCGAGATTGAGGAAACCAGGCAGCCATCTCATTTAAATGTTAAGGAAGGGGGTGGGGGTGTCTTCGAGTAGTAATTTACCTCCAAAGGTAACACTGGCTGGAGGCTTACTAATAGTTGTTTAAAGTTAAAAATTCAATCAGAAAAGTGTGGGACTGATGAATTATGACAGCTGGCCAATCACCAGTCACCAGATATTTAAGAAATCGGTTACAATAAATGAAATGGAATTTTTCAAATAAATTATTCCTTTTTTTTTTAATTAGGTAAAAGTTCAGTTACTCTTGGTTACTGTCTCAAGGCATTTGGGGATATGGCTTCTATCTTGAGGCTTATCAAAGTGATAGAAAGATTGTGTCCTCAAGGGACTTCTTATAGGCCATACTGCTTTGAAGGGAAAAATCAAATAATTATTTTTTTCTTCTTAGTGGCATTTGAATGACTCACTCCAGTTTCTTTAGCATGAATGTAGGTTTGAAATGTATTCTTTAAAAGTTTTAATGCTGGATCACATGCATTTTTCAGAGGAGGGATAGCAAAAGGGTTGACAACACAGACGGGAAGAGGTGGCCACAGATTTAAGCACAGTTAGAACTACTATACCAAGAGCATTTGAGAATTTCAGGTGCCAGTTCTTAAAAGCGAGGTGTTGTCAGTGGCATAAAGCATAACCCCTAGACAAGCCAAAGTACCCCACCTCGGCAATGACAGAACACTTTGCGGGAAATTGTGTCGCTATTAATTTAAATAATCATCTTTGCCAAATGGATGAGCTGGAGTCTTGGCAGGGAACAAAGCCAACCTGGTCTGAACGGGAAATCAGGAGGAGGGGAAAGAAAGAAGTTTGGGGTTTTGTATCCTTTCTTCTCCACCTAACCCTTCCCCCTGTTCTGATGTACTCCCTGATGGAGGGCCTCTTTGACTTAATTACTGGGTCATTGAAACAGAGATTAAAAGGTTAAAGTAGATGGAATTCTTTTACAAAATGAGTTTGCTTTCCAAATTTTATTCTTGATCTGAAGATTAAAAAAGTAAGTCACGTTCCCAGTGGTGGAGCCATAGGAAAGTATTTGACTATTTCAGACAGGTTTCCACCCTTCTGAGCGACACATTTCACACATTTCAAGTCACGTCTGAGTTTTCAGGACCAGCAGGGGAATGGAGACTGGGGTGCTGGTGGGGGAAAGGAGAGCGCCTCACCAGACAGACCCCAAGTTCAAGTGAAGCTGGGATTAGATCTCCCCAGAGAAATCGTAATCCTGGAAAAAAAACCTGACTCTGAAGAGGGCTTTAATTTGGAATTCCTAAGACTTAGAGAAACAATACATTTTTTTCATGACTCTAGCATTGTGGGCCAAACATTTGTGACGTCGAAGTGAAGGTATAATGCAGCTTAAAAATGGTTGTCAGAATGATGCCAAGTTAAAGGTTCTATTGGAACGTTACAGCTGCTGGCCTGATTAAGAGATATATTTTTCCTCTTGGGAGCAGTCTCAGTGTCTTAAGATGATGTTGATTTTCTGGTTTAATATCTTAAGGGGTGTGCATTAGTCAGCCACCTGCTCAGGGTACTGCTTCAAAGAACAGCCGGAAAAAGGTTTTCAATAACGGCAGTGCAGGTTTACGAGATAGGGGCCTTTAGAATCTCCAGGAAGAACTACCATAGAAATAACAATAATTCATTGTTCAGTTGCCACCTCCCTCTGTTGGAAACTTCTCATGCTGGAGGGATTTAGGGGGCGATGGCACCCTGCCACTTCTTGTGTGTGGTCCTGAATCGTCTTGTCAGTCAAATGCCCCTGAGGTCACCTGGCCTTGATTTCTGAGTGTTTCCACTTCTGTCAGAGTTGCTTCCCCTTCTAGTCTGTCAGCATCTGTATGAGGGAGAGCTGACAGAGGGGGGATACCTCCCTTCGAAGTCAGTGAACCCCCTCTTTTCAGAACCTCTTATATTTTGCCCTGAAAAGGAGGTGAAGGAGAAATTTTCCAGTGAAAGTAGAAGGGGAGAGAATGTCTGGAGGAATAAATAGCCAAGAAACAGGTGATTTGCAAACACTGTTGGTACTGCAGAGTTTACCAGAAAGCTGGCATGGAGATGACCAGTGTCCTCTGAAATTGAAGGTGAACTGTCAACTGTAGGGACTTGAGGCTCATTTTCTCACTTTCTGTAGTTCACATGCTCCTAGGGCAGTGCAATAGATAAGTAATTTGAATGAGTTAAAGATATCATCTCTTGGTACAACCAAAAGTAAACTGATTACAAAAGGCACAAGCCTCCCAACCTCACTCCCACTGTGTCCGTCCTCTACTTTCTGCAGTGATTTAAGGACAACTGGAAAATCAAACCAAACCCACAGCTTAGTTTTTATAACTTATGTATATAATGTGAGCAATCTTTTTGTTGTGAATATTCAGTTTTTGTCATTATATGAATTTAGTTCATGCAAAATGATTTGTGAAATGTGCTTAGATGTATACAGTTTATATGTCTGTAAAATACAAACCATAAGTAAATTGATACTTTAATAGAAATCATTAGCCACAGTTTATAGTTGCCCTTTGGGTAAACCCTATCCGTTTTTGAGAGAGTCATTTTAGAAATCAAAAGTACAATTCCCCACCTTGCTGAAGGTCATAAGAGAGATGGCATGCGGAGAAGTGTTAATGTAATCCTGAGAACTCTTTGTGATTTGGGGAAAATACCAATCCTTTGGTCTCAGCAGATTCCTGGTAGTGCAAAATATATACTTTATTTTGTAAATTGTAGCCATTCATATTAATCAAGGAAACAATCTCTGCTCTCTTCAAATCATGGTATTTGTCTCTGGGGATAGTGTCTGTGGTTCTTATGAACGTGGCAGCTCAGTGCCAAGCACCATAGTCAGTGCCTGGTGGGTGTACGTTGGAGAAAGGGGAGTTGCTGACAGTTGTAGCCTCCTGTTTGTGCTTAGCTTTGGCTAATAGTCAATATTGGGAATCTGGACGTTCCCACCATCTGGGGAGAAAGACCAGCCGATCCCATGATCATCCATGCTTGGGTGAGCAAGAGTTAACTATATGTACCAACGGGCAGCGGGTGGGTGTACAATGAATGCGGGGCATTGTGCAGGTGAAACAGGAACAGGACGCTTCTACCTGACCAAGGAAATGCCAACCTGTAAAAATTATAACAAAAAGCATTCAGCTTTCAGAGCACTGAGATCCAGCTCGGCCATTCCTGTAAAACATTTCACACCGTGCCAAAAAATACATAAAGAACTATTTACTGAAATGACGATTTTTTTCAGGTGTTCGTTCTCTGAGATCATTTGATTGCCATTCTGAAAATGTACATCTGGGCCTTTCGAGCTCAGGTGAAATGTTCATGTCTCTGAAAGTGAGGATCCGTGTCCGTGCTAGCACTGTGCCTTTGGAAAAGATGGCTTAAATCATATTTCTTTTTGTTTGTTGTCATTTAGTCTTTGAAATAATAACATGGTTCTTGGGACACCAAGCCCTTGCCAAGATTAGGCCCATCTTCCCAGAAGCCTTCTTAAGACAAAGTTGCCTTTGTATAACGGCGACCGGGAGGATTTGGTGACACAGAAAACTCCATGGGGCACTGCAACTTATTATTAACAGAAAATTCAATGGCCTCATGTTTGTGTTGTTTGTTATACTCTCCCAGCTAATCTCTGTGTTATATTTCTCCATACCGATGATCTTACTATGTAGACTTACCCAGGAAGGACGTGGTGGCTGCGGGTTTACTGTGGAGTCCAGTTAGATTATGAAAGGCTGAAGCTGCAACACGCCGATGCCCAGGAGAGCTCGGCTCATGAGCTAGTTTGTTCTCAGGGTAATCAGCAAAATTTGATCACACGTGGAAAGCAAGAAAATGGCGTCAGCCGGTGTGAAAAATGACAATTGCGGGGGGAAGGGATGGCTATTGGCTCTAAATTCAAACTGCATGGCAGAGTGGCTAGGAGCAGAGATAACCTAGGTTCAAATCCTGGCTCTGCCCCTTACATGCCATGGGACTTTAGGCAGGTTACCTTTGAAAACAAAACAAAACACTCTGTGACTCAGTTTCTCCAATCATAAACCGCCGACCTGGCAGCGTCTTGTAAGAATTGAATTAATTAATCTTGATCATTAAAAAAAAATTATTTTTGTATATACTTCCTAGATTTCTCTTTTCTCTTTCTAAAATGCCTCATAGAGGCATATTCAACTTCTTAGATTGCCTTCTTATATTTGAAATGTGTCTTATATTGCTTATTCTCTCATTACTCCATTTTCTTAGCAGACTATTCTCATTTTGGATCTTAGTCTGTACAAGATCTTCTGTAATCTTTCTGAAGATATTAATTAAACTTATGTAATCTCTCTCTCTTTAGTTTTTTTGGTTGTTGTTAAAGTATACTTGGCATACACTAATATATTAGTATGAATTAATCTGCTGTCTGAACAGAGCTTAGAACAGTGCCTGGCATGTACTCAGTATGATGTGTATGTACATCATGTTTGAATGCGATTCTGGGTTTGAGTTCTTGTCTCACTATTCTAACCATGTAGGAGTTGTCGTTTGTGACCTCTTCTGCTGGCTGGAATCCAGGATCCTCTTCCCAGCATCACTCCTTGGCTTTGAATGCATGGCCGTTGCCA